TGTGTGTGTGTGTGTGTGCGCGCTTGTGCGCGCGCGCGTGCGTGCGTGCGTGTGTGTGTGTGTGTGTGTGTGTGTGTGTGTGTTTGTGTGTTTGTTCATGTTCGTACATGTACATGTGTGTTAGGTCAACTTCCAGTGTCATTCCTGAGGAGCTATCTGCCTTCTTTTCTGACTGGGGCCTTTGACTGGGACCTAGGGTTATATTAGACTGGCTGGCCAGAAAGCTCCAGAGATTTTCTGTTTCTGCCTTCCCAACACTGGGATTATAAGTGTACAGTCACACTTCTAATGGTACCATTTTGGTCATATACCCTATTTTGATAGCCAAAACCTAAAAATGTGGTATGACTACCAAAAATAATGGGCCTTTTCTTATATAAGGAAATTTTTTCTTGTGTTAAAGGTAAAATAGCCAGGAGTTCTGCTTCATTCTAAAGTCTGTCACACTGTGTGGAGTTTTATATCCTTAGGTTTTCAATACTTTCCTGAATATTCTATTGTTGGTTATTCATTGAGACAGTTTAAAACTGTATATGAGCTTTAAAACAACACATTTTGTGTTAAAAAGGTTGGCACAGTCAATGGAGTATAGTGAGCCTTTCACTTTAAAGAAATTAGGTTTGACTTAATAGTTATTTTCATGAAAAAAAGGCAGAATAATTTTGTGGCTTGCTTAAAGTTGAGCTTCTAAAATAGTTAAGTGTATGAATCTTAGTCTGGTCCTAGCATGGGTCAGATGTCCTTGATACACTTGATTATGATTTAAAAGGTCTTCTGTGCTTTGGAGTTAGCAGTACATTCTTGATCTACCTTTGTTACTAGAACAGAATACCCATGATTGGGTAGTTTATCCTGAGCAGAATTTCGTTTCCTGTAAGTTTTGGAGCTTTGGAAGTCCAAGATGAAGGTTCTGTCATCTGGTAAATGTCCTCCTTCCACCTGTGTCATGTGCTGACATGACGGAAAACATCACAGAATAAAGGAGAAAAGAGAGACGTTAAATGACCTTTGGGCAGAGGGACAAGATCTAGTCAAGGCTGACACTAGATAAAATAGTAAACAGTATTATTGTTAATTGTTCTCACCACCAAGATTTGTCAAAATTATTCTGAATTCTTGGATTTTTTTTCCTTCCTCTTGAATTACAGCATGAATTATTAGTTGTCATGCATCATAAACTTAATGTGTTGTTTTACATTTCTTTGGGGGTGGCGGATTTGGTGGTGGTTGTTGTTTCGTGACAGGGTTTCTCTGTGTAGCTTTGGAGTCTGCCCTGGAACTCACTCTGTAGCCCAGGCTGGCCTCGAACTCAAAGAGATCCGCCTGCCTCTGCCTCCCAAGTGCTGGGGTTAAAGGCGTGTGCCACCACCGCCTGGCCTGTTTTACATTTCTTAAAATGTATTCAGGATATATTTAATAATTTCTGTGTGCTGATCTGTTTGGATTTGTTTGCTTATTTTTATGAATGTATCTTCAGGTCACATTGAAGTAGTGAAGTTACTTGTGTCTCATGGAGCTGAAGTGACGTGCAAGGATAAGAAGTCTTACACACCTCTTCATGCAGCAGCCTCTAGTGGAATGATCAGTGTAGTCAAATACCTTCTAGATCTTGGAGTTGATGTAAGTATATAGTTTAAGCAGTATAAATTAATGTATTGTTCTGTGTTTTTACTATATTGTCAGAACGTAGGTTTGAAAGATAACAGTAATATCTTTGTCTTTTTACCAAATCTTTTCAAACCTTTAATTAGCTAGTGTCCTGATATGATCAATATATATGTCTTAGTTAGGGTTACTATTGGCTGTGCTGAAACACCATGACCAAAAGCAAATTGGGGAGGAGAGGGTTTATGTGGCTTAGGCTTCCCTATCACTGTTCATCGTTGAAAGAAATCAGGGCAGAAATCTAGAGGCAGGAGCTGCTTCAGAGGCCATGGAGGATTGCTGCTTACTGATTTGCTTCTTATAGTTTGCTAAACTCTCTTTCTCTATCACCCAGGAACACCAGCCCAGGAATGGCACCGCCCACAGTGGGCTGGGCCCTCCACATCAATCATTAATTAAGAAATTGCCCTATAGGTTTGTCTACAGCCTGATCTTATGGAGACAGTTTTCTTAATTGAGGTTCCCTCCTCACAGATGACATATAACACTAACCAATACAATAGGTAATTAGTCAAAATATATAAAGAGTTAAAGCCAATTCCAAAGATGAGTGATTTGCCCAAAGTTTTTTTTTTTCCATCACGTTTCAGGTCCTGTAGCTCTGTTTCTTCCAGTTCTCTGGGAACCAGCAGATCAGACACATGTTGATTAGGTAGTTGTGTTATTGTCAGTTTTCTGAGTAGTAAGTCTAACTTTATTTAAGTGACTGTAGCAGATCACATTATCATTATGGGATTCTGACAAAAGCAAGGGAGGAAGACGAAATACTTATTAACCAAATATACATATGAGTACTATAAACACTGTAGTAATACCATTCATTTTGATTAGGGAAGAATCCTGCTCACTTGGTATATATTTGATCCCTGAATAAGAATACATGTAGCTTTTATATGACATTCTTTAGATACATGTCCTTTAGTCCCTCTTTTATTATATTTACTCTTTTGGTTTTGGGGACAGTCTCATTGTATAGCCCAAGTTGGCCTCAAATTTGGAATCCTCCAGTCTCAGCTTCCAAGTGCTTGGGTTATAGGTATATGCCATCATCCCTACCCTAATGTTATTTACTCTTATTGTAGGGGCACGTGGATCAAACCTACTGATTCTTGAAAGCAGTGAGTAAGGAGAAAGAGTGCAAAGAGAGGGAGGCAATAAAGCTGTCAGAAAGTATGTGGTTCTAGTTTAGACAAGACATGCTAGGACTATAGAGGTGCACTGACTGTTTGAGGACTGTGAGAAACACTGTACTGAAAAACGAGGAAGGAAGACATTGAAAATGTGAGAATTGGAAGAAGTTACAAAACACCCAGACATATTGCTGAGTGGGATCCTGAAAAGTACAAGATGGCTAAAAGTTTCATTTTTGTTCACCAATGCCTGTAGCTGTTTCAACCAATTAGCATAATGGCCTTAAAAGATCTCTGAAACAGATGAATGAAGCATTCTTGTTTCTGCTCACCATTTGTAATAAATTCTCCCTTAGCTCAAAGACTTTCGAAAA